AAGAATTTATTGCGAAAAATTCTTATTTTTTATTCTTATCCTGACTAGAAAAAAATAAAGAAAATGTACTTTTTGCATATACTTCATCCTCGATTATTTTATAATTAAAACCGGTTTTTCCATAAAAGCATAATTTTAGGAATATAATGCTTAAGTGATTTTTTTATATCATATTCTCAAAAATATCTCAAAATTACAATATATATTTAATACGAGACATTATGCGTTTTCTGACAAAAGATTTTTACGTTAAACTTTAATATATACATTAATTCTTTTGCGTCGTGTGAGAAGTCAATATAAACTCACCCGTTCTTTATTATCTCTAAATAAGGCGATTGTTTTTGTATCGCAAAAATCGGATATCGCACAATAACCACGTCCATAAAATCGATTTCAGTTAAACCGCATTTCTCTTCTTCTTCATATGTGCGTTGTATGATGTGATATATCGAGCTTCGTATGCCATGAAACGCGAAAGGTTCGCTTCTCATGCGGCGCACTCCTTCTTCCAGATTCATCCAGTTTGGTTTGTGTCCTTTCGGTTCAACTTTCTGCTCCACGATCGCCTTTCTGATAGGATCTTGAAAAGACTACATTCCAATAAAACAAAATTTATTTCTCTCGATACAACGTTTTATTATTTAACTCCTTGTTTTATAACAATTATATCTACCTTGAAATAATATCGATTGAATTGTATATCCTGTGCTCCAAGAGTTAACGGGCTATACAAGAGATCGGAAAGCGTTTTGATTGAGTCCGTGGTAGACTGTAAAAGAGCCACGATGTTCGCCGTGTAAGCCGCGTAAAGACTCAGTGAAGCCAGTAGTAACATAAGAGTGATGATTCGAGATGGAATTCTATATGGTTCATACGAATATCCTACGAATATACAAAGGCAATATAATTTTTTTGTTTTTTGACTCTTATACATTACGTATATGCATCTTTTTTCTCTAAAGTAACACACTGTTCTTACAAATTGGAATTCTCTTCTCACGTGAATTCACTTTGGATTTCTTTATTTGCCTATATTTTATAATCACGTAATCATCGGTCGAAGAAGAGAAACAGAAAGGTTTTATTTCGCGCATCAAAATAGGAGTGAGAGAGAAATTGAGGAGAAAATGGATTCCCTCAATAGAGGAGAGAAATAGAATTCCGAAATAGAAAGCTTCTATTATATTTTACGAGTTTATTTTCTCGAAATATTTGGACTTGAGAATTGAAAAGCTATATTATTATACCTTGTTGCGCCATTGCACCTAAAAGGACGAACAGATCATCGATAGCCGACGGTTTGCTGACATTCAATTGATTCGAGTAAGCTGCCGAGTTTTTCGAAGTACCTCGGTAGTGATCCCATTTCATAGATACGTATAACAAGCAGA